CACCGGGGACCGGCAACGGGATCACAACCCCCGGTGTCGCGCCCACACCGGGGACCGGCAACGGGATCACAACCCCCGGTGTTGCGCCCACACCGGGGACCGGCAACGGGATCACAACCCCCGGTGTTGCGCCCACACCGGGGACCGGCAACGGGATCACAACCCCCGGTGTTGCGCCCACACCGGGGACCGGCAACGGGATCACAACCCCCGGTGTTGCGCCCACACCGGGGACCGGCAACGGGATCACAACCCCCGGTGTTGCGCCCACACCGGGGACCGGCAACGGGATCACAACCCCCGGTGTTGCGCCCACACCGGGGACCGGCAACGGGATCACAACCCCCGGTGTTGCGCCCACACCGGGGACCGGCAACGGGATCACAACCCCCGGTGTTGCGCCCACACCGGGGACCGGCAACGGGATCACAACCCCTGGTGTCGCGCCCGCACCGCGCTCAGCCAGTGAGCGGGAACCGGTCTCCACATAGGATCCGAACCCTCGGTGGGAGCGCCGCCACGCTCCCAAGCGGCGCACTCTCCGGTGTGCCACTGGGCCGGCCCGCTCCACCATTTTCGCAGTGTGATATCCTGCCATCGCTGAAGTCACCACCAAAGAAAATCTTCACCAGCTGTGTCCCCTGGACTTCCTAGTCTCTGAAACTGTAAGCAATAAACTGTAAGCAATAAATTTCATCACCTTCTTTATAAAATACCCAGTTCTATGTATGTTGTCATAAGCCACAGAAAGGGATCGATACACTTGCCTCACTTGGTCAAACCAGAAATGTTAACCTCTTTCTTCCCCTTCCCCATACATCTAGCCTTTAAGCAAATGCCGCCAGAACTATTTGGAAAATGTAACGAAAATCCGGCCCTGGCTCTTTCCCTCCCCCACGCCCAGGACCCTGTGCCAGCCCGGCCGAGGCCGAATCCTCCCCTGGGCTGGTCTTCCCTTCGCAGCAGGGCAGGGTCCAGAGATCTAAAACCTGCTGGCCCCAGAGACCCCACCAAGCTCCTGCAGTCCCAAGGCGGAGGCACTGCCAGTCCCTCTGCCACACCTGCTCCTCCCGTGACTGGCTTGGCTCAGCCCAGGCCTGGCCTACAGTCCTGCCCCGGGTCCCTGAAACTGTCAAATGTGCTTTGCACCTTCTCAGACACTTCTCCTGGAACCAGCAACAGCTCCTAAGAGAGTTGGAGCTCACTGCTTCCCATGGATCTCAGTCCCACCTTCCTGGCTCTCGCACGCTCTCAACGTTTGCATTTTATATGGTTTGCATTTTATCCAGCATTTCCAGTTGTTCTTGGTGGGAGTAGTGATCTGCCACTGTCAGGAACATTGAGTTTTTCATCCATCCACTGAGTTTTAAACGCAATCATTGGATTTTTTTTTTTTTTTTTTAAGATGACCAGTAAGGGAATCTTGACCCTTGGCTTGGTGTTGTCAGCACCACACTCTCCCAAGTGAGCCAACCGGCCATCCCTATATAGGGATCTGAACCTGCGGCCTTGGTGTTATCAGCACCGCACTCTCCCAAGTGAGCCATGGGCCGGCCCAATCATTGGATTTTTTATTTACAGAAGTTGTATGTGGTTTCATTTCATATCGGCCTGTTTTTCTCATATCTTGTTCTGTCTTTAATTTTAAAATTTTTTTTAGATGTTTTATTTTATGGTCTCTGATAGTTCATCATTCAATGATCTTAGTAATCTAATCCTAACTTTCTCTGTGCATGTGTTAGCTGATTCCTGCTCTTGGGGGATTGTTTCCTGGTGCACTTTATAATCATCTCAGCAGATCTGGAGACGTTAGGTCCTTCGCACACTGGGATGAGGTTGTGCCTTCTAAACAGGGCTGGGGTTTGCCTCTGCAAGAGCTCCGGGAGTACCGCTGACCCAGGACCAATTGCATACTACTTTCCAGCCAAAGCCTGTGGCGTAAGTTCAAGCCAACACCGCTTCATGCTCAGGCCTGTGGTTACGACTCCTCAAACGAGGCTCCCTGCTCCCCTCCTAAGGCAAAAGGCGAGGTCAAAACGGTCTTTGTTTTCTCCCTTGTGCTGGTGGCACTTTGTTCCAGTTCTGCCTTTAAGCAGGGTCTCAGCGAGGCATGCCTGGCCCATCTCATAAGGACCGAGGTCCCACTTCCTCCAGGTGAGACCCGAGACTGCTGGCTGTCCCCACCCTGATGTCGTGGGCTTCATTTTATTTTCCAGGAGCTCAGTTATGCATTTAAAAGGATCTGCATGACACCTCATCCCTCCTGCCCATGTGCCAGGACCATGCCCTCCCTTCGTCTCACTACCCTGGGAGATCAGGACTCCCACCTCAGCAGCAGCCTAATTTTATATATAATTTAAAATTTTTTTTTTTTTTTTTTTTTTTTTTTTTTTTTTTTTTTTTTTTTTTT